ATAACTAACTTTTCACAAACTTCTTAATTCTCCACATCATCCCCATGGGTAAGAAATTAACCCATATTGGATGAAAAATAATATCAAACTTCAAAATAATTTATTTCTTTTCATAGTATTGATGGTAGAAAAGAAATTACTCACCACATCATGTTGTTGACGAATTTGGATTGTAGAGGAGTCCGACGATAAAGATTGTTTAAAACGATTGATGGGTCAGCTCCCCGTTTTAGCTATAGGGATTAGATATAGAGTTCTTTCAGTCAGATATTTTAACAGAGTAGAAATCATAAAGAATAGTCATATGAAACAACTAAGAAATGTTAAAGAAGATCATATTAATTGATATTATCATACCTCAATGACTGTACGCAATTCACAACCATCACTTTCATCTTGGATAGCACTGACGCCATCTAACCTTTGTTAAATAAAATAAAGCAATACATGCAGGTAAAAGGTTTACTAAAAAACAACCACATTAATCAAATATGACTGCTAAACATGCAGTATAGCCAAGTCACAGCTGCTGTTTCTCTATTTTTTATAAAACTTTTGATAAGAAAAATATAAAGAGAAATAATCATTTTAGAAATACATTTACCTTGCTCTCAACAAGGTCAGCTATCTTCTTCACCAGAAAGGATTTTCTAACTAAGTGAGGCATCTATTTCATTAGGAAAAAAAATTAAACATATCATTATTCTGAACTTAACATTTCAATGCCAATTTGAAAAGTAATATGCACATCTATCAAAACCCTTAAGGAAAACCAAGATATTCACCTCTTTTATAATAATTGACATCCTCTTTGTCTTGGAGTCGAGCAATTCAACATCAGTTTTTCCTCTAATAACAATATATCCTTTCCCAAATCGATATGTATTTAAGATCCTTGACAAAACAATTAAATTTTAGGACACTAATCACAAAACAGTTTCAGGATTTAAATAAGACAATACCGCATTGAAAGAATATGTTTCAAATAATACTTATACTCAAGCACAATGTTCGATAGAAATCATAAGCATGATTTGATGTCCAAATTGAACCTGGAATACTCACTGGCTGGTTGACATGCTTTTCTCTTTCTCTCTATTTACACACTACTAGAGACAATATTGAGGAGGTCGCATGTGTCATACCTATTAACTATGTCTGATAGAGTCATGGCATAGTTGAATAGAACTACATTCCTTTTGTTTGAATATATTAACAAATCATGCTCCTAAATAACCCTTTAAATTCCTGGCTCTATTGTTTTCTCTATATATTCACAATTCCATTTATATTAGACCCTAAATTTGTTGTATTGACAAACTATCATGATATTGCAAACGTTTTGAATAAATTGCAATGGAATTATTGATAGTTTATAATTGCAATAAATGTTATATAGTCAATATGCAAGGAAAAATTTACCCATTGTTTCCCATTATAGGCCCTCCGATTGGAAAATCAGGCCCAGACATGTATTCCAACAATTCTTGCACCTAATAGAAAGCGGGATAATGCGAAAACCAACATTTATTACAACTATTAATAACAGTAACAATAAAATTAGCCAAAATACTAACACTTAGATAGCAAGTAGAATTATAAAGAACCAAAGAAAGAGAGGGGAAGTTACTCTAGCTTTTGGATTATGAATCAATGCACAAAGTACATCAACTAACTCTCCAAGATTATGAGAAGGAATGTTGGTTGATATGCCAACTTGTAAAACATAAAATGATCTGACATAAAATTTTTTTACTCATACTTGAAATAAACACTGTTCATGAGAGAAAGTAGCAAGAACAATGAGAATCGAACAAAATGTACAACTAAGTAAAAAATAGTTAGAATAAGTCACCGCAATCCCAAATGATCCATTCAGTAACAGATTTGGGAGTTGAGCAGGCAGAACTATGGGCTCTTTTTGAGATAAGTCAAAGTTCGAAACAAAATCCCCCTGCAATGAGATCCAATATGATGCATAACTATAATAATGATCATTAAAGCATGCAAAATTATAAATGATTATGAGACAAGAAATAACACTTACAAAATCTAACTCTAAGTCTGCCAACATCATTGCTTCAGCTAGTGGCTACACAACAAAAAATTAAAGAAAACAAATGATCTCTAAGAACAAAGAAGTAGAACTATGAAGCAAAGTGATTCACTAGAATAAACAATTATGTTTCACAAGAAAATTCATCCAAGTAGAATAGCATAAATTTAAATGAACATTAAATTATAATACACATCCAATCTGACTCTGCATGCAGCACAATACACGCAAGCAGGATCTACTGAAATGAAAGGATGACTTACTGAGAAACCTTGCAAGAAAGATCATGTGGTGAATTTCACATAAATGAGAGAATGGAGTAACATTTTCTCTCATTTTACTTGTGTCATTCGAACCATAGAATCAAACACAGTAAGTATTCCATGTGGATGATATTTAGCTAGGACTCGGAACCAAAGAACAAAGGCCTAAACAAGAATGTGAAAATTCTAGAGAAAATCTGTATGTTTAGTGTGTTTACTTTATTTCATAAAAAATGAATGAATACAAGTAAAAAAAACACTTCTTCACTCCAATTCACCAGCACAAACCACAACTTAATTTGCACAAATCATACACAAGCACACATCATACTGCACAACTTCTTCAATATTATCACACATCAACACACATCATATTGCACAACTTCTTCAATACCAGCATATTACACAATTTCTGCAGCACCAGCACACACAATGATAGAGATTATACTGCAAATTCACATGCACACAAATTTATACAACACCAGCACACACAATGACAGAGATGCAAGTGAAATAATGATAGCAAATAGAGCATTCTAACCTTCCCACTATATGAGCACTTGTCCAAGTGTGTTCGGATGATAAGCCACGATCATGCATTGTAAACCTGTGGCAAAATTCAAAAAAATAAATAAAAGCCAAACCTAGGATCAAAACTACATAAATAACTGCATAAGCTGAAGCTGAAAAGGAGATGCAACTGGCCTAAGCCGAACAGGCAGGACTTATCAGACTTTGCAGACAATATTCTCAAAATTCTCAACGAGAACAAGGGAGAGGGCTAACTTAGCTTGTTTTTTAGCCTTAATTGTATTAATAGCGGGAGACCATTAACAATGTACTGTTAGTCAATCAAACTATTGGGAGTATGGACATTTTCTTTGTTTAAAAAATCTGGAATAAACAGATTAAACTTTACCTTGCATTCCAATTCAAGCAACAGTCCTCACGCTTTTAGCATCACAAAACACAATTACTCTAAAGACTTTGCTTATCTTCTAGAGGCGATCAAGTGAGGCTTGGGAGTTCTACGTTAAAATTGTAATAGCACAAGCATTCTGTTTTTTATTTCTTAACCATTCATTGTTTTGCAGTCTGTTTTAGGAAGGAAGTTGGCCGAAATGCATAAAGCTGGGAAATCTAGGTAAAGGTTTTGGTTTTGATGTTGATAATACCATTGGCATTCTGTTTTTTTATTTCTTAATCATGTGTGAGACCAGATCACCAGATTACTCTACTAACTTTCATACAGGAAATGGTTACACAAAAGGGGTCAAGAACTACATAGATCTGATACATTGAACAACCGTTCCTAGGTTGTTCAATCGTAAAACGTCAAATAATCGATTAGAAGGTACTTACAGGATTCTCCGATGAATTGGCATTAATTCGTCTCTAACATCAGGCAAAGCCCGATGCAGAACAAACAATGAACGAGGTTGGGTGGTCCGTGTGGCCATGGTCGACGAGCTGGTTAGCTCGTATACTTCATATGCTAAATCCGTCTCTAACATCCAGCAAAACCTGATGCAGAACGGATTTAGCATATGAAGTATACGAGCTTCGACCATGGCCACACGGATCACACAACCTCGTTCATTGTTTCCAAACTTAACATCGGTATTGTTGGATGGAGGAGGAGGGAGAGAGGGAAGGAAGGAGAAAAGGCGACAGGAGCGGGTGAGACAAAGTGAGTGACGGTGGTGGTAGGGGCGAAGCAAAACGGAGGAGAAATGCATTTTGATGGCTTAATAGTCTCGCATAGTGGTCTCACGGTGGTGATGGGGTAAGGAATAGGGTGGGAAAAACTGCGAGAATATTTGTTTTGGATTATTTTTCAAATGCGCGGCTCACGGTGGTGATGGGGTAAGCAATAGGGCTTGTTTTTCAAATGCGTAGCTCACGGTGATGATGGGGTAAGGAATAGGGTTTGTAAAATTGGGGAGTGAATGTGAAAATTTAACTCCCTAGCCATCCCAAGTTTCTACATAACAAAATCGCCTTGAAAATGTTTTTCATTTTTTTTTAATTTAGAGAAGCTGACGTGGGACAGTTAGGATTCTAGAAAATGATATTCTAATTACAGAACTGTTAAAAGTATTGAGACTTATATTTGAAAGATCTTTCGGAAAAATAAGAATTTCTTATGCAAAATCAAAAAACTTATTTTCACTATTTATTTGAAGAAATATTTTATTTTAGGGATTTGGATATTTATGTCTAGTTATTACTTGTTGAAGTTAGATTTATTTTTTTCATTAGATTTTAGTTATTTGACCTTAGAGTCAAATTGATCTTGGGGTTTTCATTATGACATACACATTCTTTAAATGAGCAGCATAACGGGCTCAATCTGAGAGCATAACGAGCTCAATCTAAGATCATTAGGAGTTCGATTAGAGAGCATAACGAGCTCGATCTGAGATCATAAGGAGCTCGATTAGAGAGCACAGAGAGCTCAATCAGAGAGCATAACGAGGTCGATCAGAGAGCATAACGAGCTTGATCAGAGAGCATAACGAGCTTGATTAGAGATCATAACGAGCTCGATTTTCAAGTTTAACAGCTTGTTGCAGTTGGACTCGTGAGTCCTTGATCATGAGACTTGATGCATTGAAATGTTTATTGAAACAAGGATATTTGAATTACAAAGGGACACATTGTGAGCACTTAGAAAGGATTTAACCAAGAACATCTGGATGGAACTTCAAAAATTCTATAAGATACTCCTTGACAGATAGAAAAACCACTTTCTGCACCTCAGGATTTCCCAACCTTGTCTTCAGTGATAGAAGAAAGTCATCAAGTTAGGCATCATCAATGAAAGGAGTAATTGCCAATACCAGTATCAAATCAGCCAAAGCATCGTGACAACTAAACACATGAGTACCCAATAAAATGTTGTGAATAGAAAGTACCTTTGTTTGCCCTTCAAACTCTGGATTTGGAACTTTGACTGAGATAACACATGTCCATCCCTCCCTAAGGTGTTTACCACTTAATCTCGTATCCTTATCCTGGAAAAGAACCATTAACAGAATTAAAATGACAATAGCTTTTATCCTCGTCCTATTCATGTCACAATTAATGTTTGTATGCACTGGATAGAGACTAATGAAATTTTCTTCTTGCAATATCATAACTCATTCTCCTGGTAAAACATAATCTATTCCCAATCCTAATTTTTGGAACTCAAAAGCTTGGGACTTGGAAGTTCACATGCAATCAAGGACAAAGTTTTACATTTTTCATTGTAGTTATTCAAATCCTTAAGCTATACTGACAATAAAAGACAACTTACACAAATTGAAGAACACAAGAAGAAAAACACACCTTGAACATTTTTTATTTTTTCCAAAGATTATTGAGACTTCTTGTCAATACAGCCTTAACACCATCAATATGTGTGCCGCCATCAACAGTACGTATGCTGTTAGCATACCCTACCATCGTATCTATACATGCACCAGAACACCTAGTAATGCAAGATACAAGAACCAAATAAAATAACTTCGATTACTCACTGATTTGTGGGGACCGATAATAATTGTTTTAAAAAAAAAATTAAACTATATTGTCAAATGAAAACGAACAAAATTTTGTACGTTTAAATCTAGAAAATGATATTCTAATTACAGAACTGTTAAAAGTATGGAGACTTATATTTGAAAGATCGTTCGGAAAAATAAGAATTTCTTATGCAAAATCAAAAAACTTATTTTCATTATTTATTTGAAGAAATATTTTATTTTAGGGATTTTGATATTTATGTCTAGTTATTACTTGTTGAAGTTAGATTTATTTTTTTCATTAGATTTTAGTTATTTGACCTTAGAGTCAAATTGATCTTAGGGTTTTCGTTATGACATACACATTCCTTAAATGAGCAGCATAACGAGCTCGATCTTAGAGCATAACGAGCTCAATCAAAGATCATAAGGAGCTCGATCAGAGAGCATAACGAGGTCGATCTGAGATCATAAGAAGCTCAATTAGAGAGCATAACGAGCTCGATCTGAGGTCATAAGGAGCTCGATCAGAGAGCATAACGAGCTCGATCTAAAATCATAACGAGCTTGATCTGAGATAATAACGAGCTCGATCAGAAAGCATAAAGAGCTGAATCTGAGCATAACGAGCTCGATCAAATAGCATAACAAGCTCAATCAGAGAGCATAACGAGCTCGATTTTCAAGTTTAACAGCTTGTTGCAATTGGACTCGTGAGTCCTTGATCATGAGACTTGATGCATTGAAATGTTTATTGAAACAAGGATATTTGAATTACGAAGGGACACCTTGTAAGCACTTAGAAAGGATTGAATCAAGTACATCTGGATGGAACTTCAAAAATTTAGTAAGATACTCCTTGACAAATTGAAAAACCACTTTCTGCACCTCAGGATTTCCCAACCTTGTCTTCAGTGATAGAAGAAAGTTGTCAAGTTAGGTATCATCAATGAAAGGAGTAATTGCCAATACCAGTATCAAATCAGCCAAAGCATAGTGACAACCAAACACATGAGTACCCAATAAAATGTTGTGAATAGAAAGTACCTTTGTTTGCCCTTCAAACTTTGGATTTGGAAATTTGACTGAGATAACACATATCAATCCCTCCCTGAGGTATTTACCACTTAATCTCGTATCCTTGTCCTAGAAAAGAACCATTAACAGAATGAAAATGACAATAGCTTTTATCCTCGTCCTATTAATGCACAATTAATGTTTGTATGCACTGGACAAAGACTAATGAAATTTTCTTCTTGCAATATCATAACTCATTCTCCTGGTAAAACATAATCTATTCCCAATCCTAATTTTTGGAACTCAAAAGGTTAGGACTTGGAAGTTTACACACAATCAAGGACAAAGTTTTACATTTTTCATTGTACTTATTCAAATCCTTAAGCTATACTGACAATAAAAGACAACTTACACAAATTGAAGAACACAAGAAGAAAAACAGACCTTGAACATTTTTTATTTTTTCCAAAGATTATTGAGACTTTTTGTCAATACAACCTTAACACCATCAATATGTGTGCCACCATCAACAGTACGTATGTTGTTAGCATACCCTAGCATCATATCTATACATGCACCAGAACACCTAGTAATGCAAGATACAAGAACCAAATAAAATAACTTCGATTACTCACTAATTTGTAGGGACCGATAATAATTGTTTTTAAAAAAAAAAAGTATATTGTCAAATGAAAACGAACAAAATTTTGTACGTTTAAATCTAGAAAATGATATTCTAATTACAGAACTGTTAAAAGTATTGAGACTTATATTTGAAAGATCTTTCGGAAAAAATAGGAATTTCTTATGCAGAATCGAAAAACTTATTTTCATTATTTATTTTAGGGATTTTGATATTTATGTCTAGTTATTACTTGTTGAAGTTAGATTTTTTTTTTTTCATTAGATTTTAGTTATTTGACCTTAGAGTCAAATTGATCTTGGGGTTTTCATTATGACATACACATTCTTTAAATGAGCAGAAGTTTGTTTTTTATTGGGCTTATATCACAACATCAGCTCATGCACTGTGCAACATTTCAAGGCATTTGGTTTCAATCAAGGATCTAGAACTTTAAGACCTTAAACAAAACAATCTCTTTGTATGCTTTTTACAAAGTAAATGACTCAAAAAGTTACTGCTCAAAGAGAAATTATAAACAACTTTTGTTTTATTAAAAATATGGCAAATTAAAGTGAAAATCAAAATCAATTTTTCAACCAATCTTATGAATAGTACATTCTGTAGAAAATAGAGCTTTGGTTACTTTAGAAATCAAAATTTTGTTTTCTTTAGATGCAAAACTCAAAACCTGAGAAAACAGAGCCGTGGTTTGTGAGAAAATTGAAGTTCAAATTTGTCAGAAACCTGGAGTTCCTATTATCATGATTTTAGATATTCAATTACTTTGACAATGATCAAAGTTTGTACATCACAACTGGAATTACTCTGGAGAAATAAAGTTTTGTGTTATCACTATAACACTTTTTTTTTTCTTGGAATTACTGCAAAATAACCATCATTATTTTCAAAGCAATTTCATCAGCTTATCTGAAATTAAAAAAAAAAAAAAACCAATGACATTAAAATTTTTATTTTAGTTAAGACAACTCGATCCTAAATTATGAAAAGACCGGGACTAAATAGCCTTTTGCATCCTTCCTACATGTTCTACATCACAAACTGCCCACAACGTTACCTAATGTCAACATAAATTTGAAATAGACGATAAAATTTTTTGAAAACAATACCATACACACCATTAGTATCTCACAAATTTGTAGATAAAAAATAAAGAAAAATAAGAATAGGTATATTTGATGCCTACTATGATGTCCTTATTTTTTCAACTTCTGCAACCATCCATTCTTACTTGAATTAATCACACAACATGCAGATATGATAGAAAATCCATCATATGTCCAGTGAAGTAACTTTTAACTTGGTTCTTTCACAATAATTGTCAGGATAACAGGTTTTCTATAAGGATAAAGAAAGCATTCAGGGAGAAATAAAGTTGTTTACCACTGGAGAGCTAGATCAATCGTAATTCCATCTACTTCCTTTTCAAAGGCCACAACTTCATGAAGTGGTTTCTGGATCATTTAAAAAAGTCAGTCATCATTTAATGCACAAGATGATTTTCCAATCCAGAGAGAAAAATTATATATATGGGGAGCCTCAAAAGTTTTATCTAGGTACCACATTTCTGCATGCATGCATATTCTCATGAACCCAAGAAAAACTAGCCAAAAGCTATGGCATTTACGATCAATCTTGTACTTGAGTAAGCAGACCATCCCCCCCAATCCCAAGACTAAAAGAAAATTCATTAATAAAAAATGTATAAGAAAAGTCAATAACACAAGTATATAGGATTAGAGAGAAAACTTCCACTAAGAAACTAAAGATATCAAAAGAAAAAAAAAATTGGAGTAACTAAAATTGAAATCGAGGTCCCTTTTAATAGAAACCTTAGCTCAACCCCTTAACAAATCCAAGTTGAAGAAACCCCATGTCAGTGGCCTAATGACCAAATCTATTCTAGAAGACTGATAAGAACCCAGAAACATTGCTAGAATTTAACAGAGGAATCCAAACAAATACGTAAGACAAAATTGAATAAAACTTTTATAGTTTGTATTGATCTGTACTAATAAATGAAATGACACTGTTGGATGATGGCTTGAAACACTGTCATATTAGAACTTAAGTGGGACGACGTCGTTTTGAACTAAACTGAGAAAACAATCTTGAGCGTTGATGAAGAGAAGATCCAACGGCTGGAATTAAACCCTACAGTCAACCATATAAAAGCATATTTGTTTTGGCATTTTGCACGCAGTATTCTTTTGTGCAAAACTCTCTCTTCTTCGTTAGACACCATTTTGAGTCTTTTAGGGTTTCAATCTGGGTTGAGTGAATCTTGTAACTTGTTGATTGAGTGACTGGGTCAGGTTATTCAAGGTGTATTTGTATACGGTGTTTATAGGGATTCAAAGGGTATAATCTCTAAGGTGAGTTACGGGTTGAAGAAGGGGTATTGAGGGTTTTTGTGTTGCTGTGTGTAATCTATAATCTTGACAGTGATTTAGTGCAGCGAGCTCGTGTGTTTCCCGAGCTCAACGTGGACGTAGCTTGCTCAAAATAGAGCAAGTGAACCACGGTAAAATTCCGGTTGTTCTTGTGCGTGTGTGATTTGTGATTCTTGATTGTGATCTTTGTTTGGTTGATTCTTGTATGTGTGGTTATAACAGTGGTATCAGAGCCATTTCTTGGAGATTAGGGTTTTGCGAAATTAGAGTTTTGCAAATTTGGGGTTTCTTGCAAAATTAGGGTTTCGAGAAATTGGGGATTTTTCGAACCAGTGATTCCTTTGAGTCTCCAATAGGATCTAGGGAGTCAAATCTTGGCCAAGTTTAAGGGTATCTAGGCTGGAAACCAGTAACCACCTTAAAAACTGCTTGGCAGTACTTGGCGACTTCTGGTGTAACAATGCCGCGTACCTCTTAGACCTTTTTTCCTTTTCTTTCTTACCATTACAGTATAATAAGCACTACTCGTATGGAGATCTCCCAATATGATGGGAAGATCGATTTTGGGAGTTGGAAGAAAAAGATGAAAGCATTGCTTTCTCACAACAAGGTTGCCATCGCACTGGAAGAGGACTCCGAAAAGTGGCTAGAGGAGGAGTTAAAAAAGAAAGAGGAGATCAATGAGGAGGCGTACAATCTAATAATCATGAATCTGTCCGACAGCGTCCTCAGGAAGGTAGACGGAATTGAATCACTGACTGAACTCTGGGGTAAACTCAATACCTTGTATGCTTTGCAATCTACCCCCAACCTAGCTTTTTTAAAAGGGGCTTTATTCTCTTATAAAATGGATAGTGCTAAGAGTATAGATGAAAACCTAGATGAGTTTCTGAAAATGACCTTGATCCTAAAAAGGACAGACCAAGCATTAGGAGAAACCAGTCTAGTGATTATTCTATTGAATTCCCTGACTGATGACTACCAAGTAGTCAAGAATGCCCTACGATACTCAGGTACTGTACCAAATCTTGACCTAATAACAGCAGGACTTAGGCCAGAGAATTAGAATTAAAAACCCAAAAATGAAATGGCACAAATCTGTTTGTTAAGAGTAGACCAGAACCTAGTCAATCTGGTAAAGGAAATCAGAATAATCAGGGGGCTAGAAATAAGAAAAAATGGAAGGGCAGCAACAACCATAGAGGAGAGTCTAGAAAATGCTTCTTTTGTAATAAAACTGGGCACATTAAAAAGAATTGCTTTGAGCGGATTAAAAAACAAAAACAAGGGAATACTGAGAATAACCTAGCCACTACTAGAAACCTAGTAGAGGAACCTGAAGTCCTTACTGTGTCAATGAATGACACTAGTGAAGAATGGGTGCTGGACTCAAGTTGTTCATTTCATATGAGTCCTAGGAGAGATTGGTTCTAGGAATTTGAAGATGTTGACAATGAAACTGTTTACATGGGAAACAATAATGCATGTCGAGTAAGAGGGATAGGCATAGTGACTCTAAGGGTTAACACTGGAAAAATGGTAAAACTAACTAGAGTTAGGTATATACCCGAACTTAAAAGAAATTTGATATCCCTTGGCACCCTAGATGAATCAGAATGCTATTATAAAGTAGAAAATGGATGCTTGAACATATATAAAGATAACAACTTGATTCTAAAAGGAGAGAAAAGAAATGGCCTTTACATACTCTGTGGGAACCATTCCCAAAACTGCTTTAATTCTGTGATTATTTCTACTAACTTGTCCAATACAGAAAAGTGGCACCTTAGATTAGGCCACATGAGTCAAAGAGGCATAGACATCCCGAAGCATAAAGGGCAGTTTGGTAAGGACAAGACTACATCCCTTGAATTATGTGAGAATTGTGTTTTAGGGAAACATCATAGAAATAGTTTCACTAAGGGGACACACCTAGCCACTAGCCCACTAGAATGCATACACTCTGACCTTTGGGGACCTGGAAAAGTGAAAACTTATGGAGGGAATAATTACTTTATGTCTCTAGTGGATGATTACAGCCGCAAGGTGTGGGTGTACCTACTGAAATCCAAAGATCAGGCTCTAGCTAGGTTTAGGGATTGGAAAACTCTAGTAGAAAACCAAATGGGCAACAGGGTGAAGGTTCTTAGAACAGACAATGGACTGGAATTATGTAACCAAGAATTTGACAAATTTTGTTGTGACCAAGGGGTTTTAAGACATAGGACAGCAACCTACACCCCACAACAGGATGGAGTGGCAGAACGGATGAATAGAACCCTCCTTGATAAAGTTAGGTGCTTATTAGTAACCTCCAAACTCCCCACCTCTTTTTGGGGAGAAGCCCTTACAACAGCAGCATACCTGGTAAATAGGAGCCCATCTACTACAATAAACCTAAAGAGCCTTGAGGAAATGTGGACTGGTAGAGTCCTAGCTTTAAGCCACCTAAGAGTTTTTGGGTGTGCAGCTTATGCACACACCACAAGAGGAAAATTGGAACCAAGGTCAACTAAGTGCATATTTTTGGGTTATCAAGAAGGGACCAAAGGTTATAGACTTTGGGATAGAGAATCTCCAGGGGTTAGAATCATTGTGAGCAGAGATGTGGTATTCAATGAGGGAGTTTTTCCTTGTAAGGAAACTAGAACTAGATCTGACCCCACTTCAAGTTCAGAGGATCCCTTCACCTATCCTGAAGTTACACCAATTGAGGTGGAGCTTCCTGCTCAAACTCAAACTCAAACTCATCAAGAAACTGAAGCTGTTATTGAACCTGGAGGAGAAACTGGACAAACTGATCCAGAACATGAGGATGAGACAGAAACAGCAGATGACACTGAGATTCAGCCTGAAAGCTTGCAAGACTACCAGCTTGCAAGAGATAGAACCAGAAGACAGGTAAGGGCACCCACAAGATATTCCTATGCTGATCTAATATATACTGCCCTCCTTGCAGGTACTGAAATACAAAGAATAGAACCTGAAACCTATGAGGAAGCCATGCAGTCAAAGGAAAGGGATAAATGGAAGGCTGCTATGGAAGCTAAAATGAAGTCCTTGGTGGTGAACAGAACCTAGAAACTTATACCAAAGCCTAAGGATCAGAAACTTGTACAATGCAAATGGCTGTTCAAATTAAATGAAGGTATCACTGAAAAGGATCCCCTCAGGTATAAGGCTAGATTAGTAGCCAAGGGCTTTACCCAAAGAGAGAGAATAGACTTCAATGAAGTCTTTTCCCCAGTAGTTAAGTACAAAACCATAAGGCTCATGTTGTCCATAGTAGCCCATTAGGATCTAGAGCTTGAACAACTAGATGTTACAACTGCATTCCTACATGGAGATCTTAAGGAAGAGATTTACATGAGCCAACCCTTAGGTTTCATAGATAAAAAGGCCCCCAACCATGTCTCCCTACTGCTGAAATATTTATATGGCCTAAAGCAATCCCCTAGGCAATGGTATAAGAGATTTGACACCTTTATAGTAAGTATAGGATTCACTAGGAGTAAGTATGATAGTTGTTTCTACTTTGTTGTTGTGGATGAGATACCTATTTACTTACTGCTATATGTTGATGACATGTTACTGATAAGCAAATCAAAGCCTCTAATCTGTGTGTTAAAGAATAAACTGAATGCTGAATTTGAAATGAAAGACCTAGGGGATGCTAGGAAGATCTTAGGCATGCAAATTGATAGGAATAGGAGCAAATGCAAACTGAAAATACACCAGTGTTCATACCTGCATAAGTTAGTACAAAAATTTGGAATGACAGGGACTAAAACTGTTTCAATGCCTTTAGCTAACCATTTCACATTAAGCAAGGCCCAATGCCCTAATACTGATGCTGAGTTAATTAAAATAGAGACCATACCCTATGCAAATGTAATTGGATCCTTGATGTATGCTATGATTAGTACTAGGCCTAACTTATCATTTGTGATATCATTGCTGAGTAGATTTATGTCAAATCCTCGTATGGAACACTGGACAGCCCTGAAATGGGTACTCAAATATGTTAATGGCTCATTGAATGTGGGATTGGAATATTGTAAAAGATCTGCCTCACTTGAGCTAGCTGGTTTTGTAGACTCTGATTTTGCAGGTGACAGGGACACTAGGAAGTCAACCACAGCATATTACTTTACCTTGAGGGGCAACTACATCAGCTGGAAGTCACAA